AGATTACGGGGCTGCCGCGAAGGCGCTGAAGTTGGCTGGACGGTTACAAATGAACCACTTTGCTCGAACGAGGTGTCAGAAAGCAAGCGGGAAGACGGCATCTCTGCTGCCTCGACAAGAGCTGAAAGGTCTTCTTGCTCGTTACTCACTTCCAATGTAGATAGTCACTTACTAGGCCCATGGTGCAGCATAAATGACAAAGCTTACTGGAAAATCGAGAAAAGACGAGAACAGGGTAGCTTCCGATGAGTGGGATTTCGTGTTTCCAGTTTGATTACTGTCTTCATACTTAATCAGAGTGACGCCTACGTTCTGTTATGCAGGACGTTCGTGCTGCCATATAATACGGCATCTCTTAAGACTAGCACAATTTTTAAACATCAAAGAGCTTCATCTTTATGACGCCTGTTTTTATAACGGCTGTTGATGGATGTAAGTCTACACAGCTCTTGAATGTAAAATGAAAATGGTTCATCATTGATAATTCTAACGAACATTCACGACCTGTTATATATGTCTAAATAGTTCGCACTAGCAACAACAAAAAATGTTCAATGACTTGGTTGCCTTTTGCAACATCGTAAAAGCAGCTTCTTCAAAGACACAGAAACATGTAGAAAATGTAATGTAAAAATGACTGCAGAATGGACGTTTACTCAGACCTCCAGTTCCATTTATTTCCTGCCATTTCATTAAAATTCTAAACTATAAACGAACTCAAAAACGTATTTTAGTTGATGCACTTAAATTCATCGAAAGCGAATGTGAGTTTATGCGCCGCTAAAAATTTTGAACTCGTGTCTTTTTATTTCATAATGATAAATACCTCCTATTGTCATCGAAAATGCAGTAGCCCTCAAGCACAGCTATTGGAAGATAATTGCTATCCGTTGATAACTAGTGTCCGAGCGGTCGAATTCCTTCCTTTAAAGCTGCTATAAATTCTTGAGTTTTTAATGAAAACAATTGTTAGTGGCTAACATAAGTTCTGTTCCTTTTTAAAATCTGACGCGGAACTTCCCACCACCTAAGAGCAAGAACATCAATGCACACTGTTTACTTTGCCCGTGAAAAGCAAGCAAAGAACAAAATTTATTTCAGGGAGTTTATAAGTCGTTAATATTGAAACTTTTTTTCTTCAGAATTTTCTCAATGTCAATTTTTAGGTCGATGTTACGCGAAGAAAGCTTCAAGTAAGTGAACTGTCAAAACATGTTGTGCAAACTTTGCCGTTATTTGTCATCATTAGCCTTACCTTAGCTTCAACAAGGACGGCGCTAATGATGAGGTGACCCTACTTTTCCGCCTTTTGTTAGCCGACTTCTTAGCCCCAGAAGCAACTCAGGAGGACGATGCGAACACAAAAAGAAAAAAGACTGCCGTCTAGTTTCACAGTTCATCAATCAGTGTCAACACATTTGTTGCCGGCAGAGTGACGCAGTCAACCCGGGATGCTGTCGCCACCAGCTAATAGCAAAGTTAGGGCAACAGCTTTTCTCAAGTAAGAAATAAAACGAAAATATTCCTGCAAAGGCACTCGCGAAGAATACCACGTCCAAGGTTTTGCACTTATTTTGCGTTAGAGAACGCGTAGATAACAAAGCACTGAAGACTTTACTAAGTATTCACACGAGACATATCAGTAGGCCCCAGTAGGTAAGCTTGAAGCTTCCTTGTTGAGCCTAATAAAAGCGAAAAGGAATGCACAAAAATGTGTTCTTTGACATATTAGTGGGAGCTCACCTAGGAGGCCTAAATAAACTTTAAGAGTCGCGAACTTGACGCTGAGTGTGGACGTGACGCAAACAATGACAACTTCCGCTTCGAGAGTAATATGGTGCCTTGCTTATACTTTTTTTTTCTGCTGTTCTAAAAAAAAACGCGCCTGCACTTTCATCGCCATCAAGTGCTGGACGAAAAGTGTAAGAAGGTAACTAAAAGTCTGCTGAGGGATTTCTAAACTCTTTTTAAACCTGATTGATTGCCCTCCTGACAACGAGGCTGACCCTTCGATATGTATGTATAAGTTGGTTTTTCAACAAGTAGCAAATCGCAAGAGAAGGATGTCAGGACACTGAAGTATCAACCTTACGCTGACCCTAACTACTGTGTAACCACCCTCGAGCATTTTCAGAAATGAGCTATGCGCGCATGTTTTTATAGAATCGGCTAAATCCGTGACTTTTCTCTCCTCCCCTATAGCTTTCTCTCCCCCTTCCTCTTGCAGGGTAGAGCCTACCGGGCTCAGCCCTGGTTAGCCTCCTCTCTGCCTTTTTCTAGTCTTATTTTTTCTCTCTTCTGTGGTTTACAAAGCAGGGGTAATTACACAGCTCACTTCCCACTGTAGAGAAAGGGCTGTGATTGTTACGACCATACGCCTCAATCGCTAGCACAGTCACAAAAAAGAATGACCTATTTTGTGGAAATTTTGCCCGTTGGCCAATTTTGCTTAGAATCCTTCCGTGACCTGCTTCAAATAAAAACGAGTATAGTACGTGTGAAGGGAAAAAAAGCCCTTGAGGATGTGGCCGAAATCTGGAAACATCCCTCAAGCACTTAAACCTTTAGATCTATCTATCTATCTATCTATCTATCTATGTATCTATCTATCTATCTATCTATCTATCTATCAACATACCAATATCTTGCTGAGGCATCGCAAGCATAAGCGCATCAATATGGGTGGTATAGTACGTGTGAAGGGAAAAAAAGCCCTTGAAGATGTGGCCAAAATCCGGAAACATTCCTCAAGCACTTAAACCTTTAGATCTATCTATCTATCTATCTATCTATCTATCTATCTATCTATCTATCTATCTATCTATCTATCTATAGCGCCGCGGTGCGGAGAAAATTGCGGGCTCCGCGCACCTCTGGAAACACACTCTCTCCGTGCGATTGGGACAGCCGGACAGAGACACGTTCCACGCGTACCATCTCGGAGACCATGAACAGGATCAACCTTGAAAGGAGATATGTTACCCCTTTTCGCGCGCTGAGAAGTAGCCACATAGTTCGTTATTTTGCCATGCCACACGCGCGCAAGCTCAGGAAAGAAGAAATCGCTGTCCGAAGACCATTCTTGGCCGATCCCTCTTTGTGGGCGAGTGCCAGCAAAGCTGAAGGTTCATCATCATCATCATCATTACACTGTGCCGCAATGCGTGGGATCCTGGTGTAAAGGTGGCAACGTATCGTTATATCACTTTCCGAAGAATGCAGGTGACGCGCGAAGGGGAATGGCGTAGACCAGATACTTCCGTATTGGAAAGAAGGTGACGCACCCCATGGTCATCTGTTCTAATCACTTCGCTCGCAACGAATTCATTCTCCCTGGTGAGCACACCACAATTTAGCGTGTGTGCATTCTTGTCAATATTTTGGTGTCTCAAAGGGCGGAATGTATAGTTTGTCAGTATACTACGCCGTAGAAAACACCGACGGAAAAAAAAGACAAGGACGAACGCAGAGTATCAACTGCATAGTTTCGTTTGTATTTAAGCAATCGCTTTAGGAAACTTGTTGCCTTATGTGAGTAAGTGTATTTTTGCTGGTATTCCACATGTGTGTGTATACACTAGCACAAACGCACGTGTGAATATGCATAAAGTATAGGTGTACCTCTCAGAAAAAATTTCTTGCTATGCCCTTGTCTTTGACGTTCATTTCTTCCGCGATAACTGCAGTAACGAAACCTGATGTATAATTATTATGCACAAACCTATTGTGCGTATGACTGCGCTTGCTCTGCGGTGTTTAAAGATGGTGCTCTGTTCATATCAAACGTGGCGCATTGACAGTTCAGGTTCATCAGCTCATAAGAAATTTAAGATCTGCAAAAATCGTTCTCCCAGCTTTTCGGGTGTTCGACTTTCGGGTGCATCGCTTGCTTCTTTTCTTACACACTAGAGAGCAACTTATCCTTGATAGTGCCACGTTCCATTTCCCAAGTTTTTGTTATCGTCCCAAAACACCACACGATTGTCAGCACAAACCCCGCCTGCAGTTTTCGAGAAGGTTCCGGACTGTAGTAGATCATTTCGATAAGATCACGCCCACTGTGCGAACGGTACAGATTGTTCTGGAATCTACGCCACCGCCAGCGATAACGCTAGAATGTTCGACGGCAAGAGTATAAATGCCGACGCGCTTCGCCGCTTGTGAGTTGTTGATCGAAGGCCGACGCTCCGTTCGCCGGTCTAGCTGTCTCTTCTCGAGTCCTCAAGCGAGACCCGGGGTCACGTCACGCGGACGTCGACCCCAGGGTTTCAAGTCGGCAAAAGAAGTCTACGTGGCACCGGCGTCTTGTACGCGCGACCGCCGCCCCTGGGTCTCGGGCCTTGCTGCCTGGAGCCCGCCTACCCCATGCCAGGAGGAGGTGTAAGGTCTCCGGTTCACGCCCGCCGTCCCGGAGTCCCCCTGCGGTCCACCTGGTACCACCAAGACCTGCACGGCACTCGCCTCGGCTGAGCCGCTTCCTACCAGAGTGCAGCTCGACTGCTCGTTACAAGTCACCCACGAGCCACGCCCAACCGGCGGCTTGCGGGGTCCACCCACCAGAATGGCCACGCCATTTGAACTCCCGGTGAGGGAGAATTGTTTCATGTTTTCCGCGCCCGAGGGCGATATCTCCGTCGAGGAGTTAATTGACGCCATTGAAGAGACAGCTGGTGACGACAGCGTATTAGTACTGCAACATAATGGGGGCGCAAAATTTCTTGTATGCACCCGCAATGCTGGCCAGGCGACGAAGCTAATGGTGGCGGAAGGATTTGAAGTGAACAGGGCGAGGGTGCCTGTAGAGGCAGTCGGGCCGCCGGTTACATATGTGAACGATTACCGTTACCCCGCTTTTCTATCAGACGAGGCTCTTCGCAACGCCTTAGCCCAGTTTGGTAAAGTGAAGGGCATTTCGTTCGCCACCCTAGCCACTCGCCAGACCAAGTTAAACGGGGTACGTGTGGTTAAAATTGAGATGTGCCGCCTGGTCCCCAGCTTCGTCACCGTTGCGGGGCGCGGGATCGTGTGCGAGTGCAGAGGCGTGCGCCGGGTGTGCGCGCGTTGTGGTGGGGTCGGGCGTGTGGCGACTGCGTGCGCCGCGGCGTGCTGTGGGCGGTGCGGCGCCTTCGGCCGCGGTACTGAGGGCTGCTCGGCAAACTGTGGGTGTTGCGGGGGTCACCGCGGAACGCGCGAGTGCTTTCGTAGGCGCTCTGCGCTTCGGCCGCCCGCGGCTTCCCCTCGCTGTCTGGGTCCGCTTCGTCGCGCTGTCGGTCAGGCGGCCCCGCCTCTGCCCGACCAGCTGGCTCGCCGCGTGTGCGGGTCCTTGCGTCCAGGTCCGCGTCCCGCGCGGCCGAGAGGGGACCGCGATTTGGACTCCGATCTGACTTCGGGCGGTGGCGTGGGCGATCCGTCCGCCAGTGAGGGGGGGGGGGGAGGCCCGGGGGTTTTGACGGGACTACCACCGCGTCGACCGAGGCAGAGTCTAGCGGTGTGTAGACGGGTTCGGCGCAATCGTTCCCCCCTAAGCCGCCTCCACCCTCGGCGGGCCGGGATGGCTCCGGGAGTTCGCTGGCCGCGGCTGGGGCGGCCGCCGAGTCCGGCGAGCGGGGAGGGGCCCTCCTTGCTTTGTCACACACACCCGGCGGCGTCCGGGCCCCGGTGACCGGCCTGGCCTTGGAGGTCGGCACCCGGGACCCAGCTGGCGACGACGCCCCCATGGGGGTGTAGAGGGTATTGCTTTCTGCCCGGCGACGGCGAGTGCGAACATGCGGCACCGACTTCCTCCCCCGCCTCCCGTTCGGCGCGCCCGGGCCGGGGATCGGACACGAGAACTGGACAGATAGCCACTGGGCTAGATCAGAGAGCTCGCTCGCGCTCACGAATACGCCCTGATGACGATAAGCGGTATCTGGGCGAGAGGGCAGCCAGCAAGGAGGCCCGGCCGCGTAGACCCGGGCCAGCAGGCCAAAGCAGTGATAGCGACGGTCCAACACACGCGAAGACTGAGAAGCTCGAGAAAGACGGTGTAGGCAAAGGGGAACCACCCCCCAAGCCCCGAGACGCAAGTCACTGAAGCGGCGCGCCTGCCCTGTCGGCTTCACGCCCTTTTCCCTTCCTCTTGTTCGCTCTGGCCGCCCTATGTCCCACTTGCCTTCTCTTCTCCTTCTTGTGTAGCACCCTCCTCGCCCCTTTCTGTCGGCACGTGGCTGTCGCTTATCTTGCTCGGTGCATTCGCTCACCCCTCTTTCCTGCTCCCCTCCAGCGCTTGGCATCGTGCCCAATCGGCGGAGACGGCCACGCTGCTTGCTAGCCTCGATACTTCCCGCGTTTTGTTTTCTTCTTTTTAAGGTTTTTGATGGCCTTTTTGAAATTGGCTACGTGGAATATCCGAGGTTTTAGAGTTAAGGCGAAACAAGCAGCCATCCTAGGTTTCGCTAGAAACCAGAACATAGACCTCCTCTTTATTCAAGAGGCGAATTTCCGAACGCCGCTGGATGTGGTTAATTTCCGCCGAGATCATCAGACCGACGCCTTTTTCTCTCTGGCGACTACGAGAGCATGCGGGGTCGGAGTAATATTTGTATCAGGCAGATTTCGATCAAAATCCCATTGTATTTTCGGGGCGAATGGTCGGTACATAATGATTGACATTTTCATCGAAGGCAAAAAGATTCGCATAGTGAACGTCTACGCCCCCGTGACAAGAAAACATACGAATAAGTTCTTTCAAGAGATGCACGAACTCCTCCTAGAGCCCATTCCCCACGTACTGGTCGGTGATTTTAATTGCGTGGTAGATTCTAACCGGGACATGAGGGGGCCAAGCCAAGGAAGATCAACCTACAATGCAAAAGAGTTGGTGAAAACCTTTCGGCACCTAAACCTCTCGGACATATGGGTACACCTCTATAGAGACCGCTTCGTAGCAACCCGTACACTCTTAAAAAAAATGGAGTGACGTACTCTCCATTTAGGGAGAAACAACGGTGTCCCTAATGTTCGTCTTTAAATAGAGAAACGTTGCTCCCTCATCCAAGGAGAAACACGTTCCTCCTTATGTAAATCAACATGGCTGCCCCCCGGCGAAGCGAGTAGGCTTAGCAAATGCAACGATTCTCGACTGGTAAGGAGTACACGACACTGAAAGTTACAAAAAACGGTCCCGCTGAGCTTGATATTGAACGAAATGATTATAAAAACAAGCAGACGAACCTGTGGCGGTGAACACATCGCGAAAGAGAACGACGGAGCAAGTACTTTTCGTTCGGTCAGCGAAGCCACGTTCACTCCGAAAGACACGGATTCTGCAGAGCCCTCACCTGAAGAGCACATGCTAGGCTTGCTGTATTTATTTCTCGCAGATTCACATAGTGTAGCGACGTAATCCATGCGTTTACGGGTCCGCAGGTCACGAGATATGCCTCCAAACCGTACACTCGATCGCAGCGAAACCATTCCGAATCCGTAGTGCAGCATTGATAGATAGATGTTCAACGTTATATAAATGACTGGAGGTAAGAGAGCGTCATAGCAATGAAGTATGTGGTAGGTGGCGCCATCTGAAGGGACTTAACAAAACTAAAAAAAAAAGTTCACTGCCGCGACGTACGTTGTTGTTACCTACTATCACGGCTTCCTTGCGGATTGTTTACGCATCAACCCATTCAGGACTACTTACGGACACTGAAAGCCTAATATCCATATAGCTACACATGGTCACATAGTACACATATAAGTACACTAGCGTATACGCTAACAACAAGTACACTAGCGTATACGCTAACAAGTACGCAACAAGAGCACAATCAACCATTCACACCACGGCCCACACTTCGACGTGTTTACTCACACCTTACTATGAAAGCGCATCAGCTTATATAGCAATGAATTTCGTATGACCTGAATGGCACAAGTTACAAGTACGTTTTCTTACACTTTTTTTACGTTTTTTATCAATACCACAACATGCGCACACGTAAATATATTGTATCTGATGGTTAGACAAACCTTAGTTAATCAATGATTGCGCAATAATGAACGGAATAATTACTAGAGCTTATCAGGTTTTCACGAAGGCGAATACCCCCAAGACCACAGCATTTCGAACGCTGCGCCATCTATCGACCACTGCCACAGTTACTTTTTTTTCTTGAAGCCTCTGAGAGTGCAAACACTTGCCGCGCGTTAGCCATTTCGGAGGTCACGTTTTTTTTTTTTTTCTTCTTGTTACTTGGAGAGGGCGCAGCATGCAGACCAAACTTTGTCCCCGTCGTGGTAGGTGTTCTGTGGTCACGTCAACCTCGTTTAGTTGTTTCGTCTTAACGTTTGCTTATATTCTTTTTACGTGAGTACCACAAGTGTGACCGTTAGCCATGGATATAGTACACCACTAGCCCTTCAACGACAATGTTTTTGATGCGGTAACGACCGTCCTAGCAGTGTATACGTAGGTTACAACGTGGGTCTTTCGAGAGAAATAAGCGATGAACTCGCATCCGACGGTATTTTTTCGTAAGCTATGACAGTGGCTGTTGACGTCGCCGCAGCTCTCATACTTGAGTGGAGGAACTATCGCTGCAGTGCGCAAGTTTACTACAACTTTATAGAATGTTGTGCCTGCATACTTTTCTGCTTCAGATGCCTCTCGCGATTCGCCTCGCGTGTCAACTTGCAATCATAGTGCGTGCCACAATTTTGTTGTTAGCGCTGTGGCTGTGGTGGTTATTACTCTGGATTCGGAATACTCTTTTCAGAAAGGTGAGTGAGCGTCAGTACTTACTTGCTGTGCACAGCTGCTACTAGAAGTGCATTTTGTGTTGAGTTTCTCGCGACAAAGGAGAATCATGGACAAGAAAGGCATACTGCTCGCGTGCATAATTCCTTCCTACTTCTCAGTGCTGGCATGGACAATTCAAAACCAATGCGATTGAGAATTTTGTTTAACCTACAAAAGTCATTGGTTCACTTTTCACAAAAGTTTAGTTATGATGATGTTTAAAATGTTTCTGATGGTTGTAATCTAGTCTGGCGAATAAACGCTCGGTGAAACTTCGCAGCCTGTTTCCCTATGTGCTTTCACCTGCTGTGGTAGCATAGCCTTATTGGGTGTCGTGTGACTATGCTGGAGGACGCAGGTTCGACTTCCGGCCACGGCGGCCGTATTCGAATGGGGGTAAACTGCAAAGAACATCCATATGGCGGTAGTGGCACGTATAACTCTATCAATTGTATATGATCGTACTTTCACGCATGGACTGTAGAGTGGTATCAGGTTTCCTACAATGTTCAAAAAATAAGTGTGATGCTTTGTTACGCGCCTCGTTCAATTCATGAGTGCTGTTGGTGCCGTGCGAAACTAAAAATGCGTGGGCTTACCAAGTAGGTCGACACCGAAAAAATTCATTATTTTTTTACACTCTAAGGCAATCAATAAAGCAAGACTGCTTGGGAAGCAGAGCTCCTTGTATTCGTGACAAATTGGTAGTATGAAACAACACGAGACACACATGGAAGTGTGCGGAGCATCGTGCGAGTGCCTGACGATAAAAAATGAGAGGCTTTTACTTTACACTAATAAAACAAAAGAAAACGTCACTCCGCATTGCTTACAAGAATTTTAGGTAAAAGCAATTGCTCGCGACCGGCCGCGGCAGGCTATAGGCTTGGCGTGCCCATGCGCGCGAGCAAGACCCCCGTGATTGAGGAGAAACTTGAACGCTGAAGGAGGAACGTTTCTCCTTTGGTCCTTGCCGCGAGAGGGCGCGACGGGTAAAGCGCCCGAAAGGGAGGAAGTCGCTGCGCCGAAGGAGAAACAGAGCCCGTTTCTCAATTCTCGCTCCCCCTTTTTTTAGAGTGTACCTCTAGATCAGCAGGAAGTAGAATAGACCAGATGTACTTTCCGGACCTCCTCCTCCCTTTGGTTGAAGGATGCGAAGTACTCGCGCTCCCGGCCAACCTAAAAGAGAAGACGGATCATGCCCCGCTTGTCACGATGGTAAAGGGATCCCCCGGCCCGCACTCTGATAACAATAGCTGGAGAATAGACGCTGAGCTGCTGAGAGATGAAACTTGCGTAGAAAACTTGAAAGCTGCCATTAGCGCATTTGTAGAAAATGTCGGACATATTACTGCCCCTCTGTGGGATAAACTTAAGGAAGAATGGAAGGTCCTGTTACAAAAAGAAGGCAAAGCCAGAAAAAGACGTCATACACAAAAGATGAAAGAACTTCTTCGCCGAATGCAGATCATCAAGGCAGCCGACACGTTGACCTCATGTACAACAGAGCACCTGACCTCGCTCGAGGAGCAATACAACCAACTCCTCAGAGATACCATGAGGTGACCTAGAAGTGAGCATGGACTGTTGGGCACGGCGACCGGAGTTGATGTGAGGAAAGCACGTGGAAATGGCTGTTTGCGAATTACAGAGGCAAAGCGCTTAGACGGTTCTGTAAGCGATGACCCAGCAGAAATTCAAAACATCTTTAGAGAGTACTTCAGCATAGAGTTCCAAGACACCGAACCAATAGACACCAATCGGGGACCCGACCATGTCAAAGAACTTTGCAAACATCTGCAGCGAATTAAGGAGGAGGAGGAGGAGCCAGCAACCCTTAGCGCTGAAATCTCCCCTGCAGAGCTTCGCGAAGCCATAAGAAGCATGACCCCCAATTCTGCCTCAGGCGCTGATGGCCTGACTGCAGCCTTTTATGTGACT